AACTGCAGTTAGAAATTTCGAGTAGAGACTTGATAACGTGATCACCCTGAGTTGAAGAATTCCACGGTGACACTATACATCACCTACATAAAACACAAGCCCGAAATGTGAGCAAACTTTATTTAAAAACTTTATTAATATTAATATAACACATTTATACATAATAATTATTCTTCACAAATTTCATTTCAATAGCTTTTTCAGTTGAGGAGAATCAGGTAGGTCTCTAATAAATTTATCTTTTCTAGCTTGTTTGAAGGATCTTGGTTGACATTTATAATCTCCTGCTAAATTATTGATACGTTTCTAAAAATACAATATGATGCAATCATGAACATGACATATTATAAAGATAAAAATGTAGCACACTATATACCTCTAATGCGATAAAATGAGACAATGTTTGAGCAAGAAGTGGAAGTGTCTATCTATCAGTTACGAGTTTAGTTTTCAGAAAAGGCTAGGATCAATATATTTCTTCAAATTCAAGATCTATGATGAATGACTCGACAGTATTGCTTAAAATTTCAAATGAACGATTAGTGAATATAACGAAAATAAATGATAGAAAAATTTCATGATAAGATATACTGTACATATCCATGTTGATAAAAATATTGTTTGATCAGGAACACCTCCATTCTTAATCAAAGTATTTATAGTTTTCTTTGCTCTAAAATGGACTTTAACATAATCTTTATCTCTTTGTAGTTCTGTATAACCAATGGGCTTTACTTCAGAATTAAGGATTAGCACTTCATCCACAACGCATAAAAAATCTGACCTCTTTTAGCTTCCATTGACAATACGATTCAATCTCAATTTATAATTTTTATAAGGTCTGCCAAATATTTTAAGAAAAGGATCTAGATATTGAAAACTACTGTATGTTCATCTTCAAATATTTTGTGTAGAGCTACAATTGGAACATCATCAGCTCTAAATAGTAAAAAAAGATTAGCTTTTTCCTTTATAATTAACAAAAATGCTTAAATATAACTTACAATTCACAGAAATTCAGTTAGCTAAATGACTACATTTACTTTTATCATTTGTATCTATAAAATCAGTAATTAGGCCTAATGATTTTTTGAAAGTGACATCATGTAATAGTGATGTTAAGTCAGTATTTAATACTGGTTTGGTCAACTTATATGGATTTTTATCAGTTATTTCGAGCTACTCATCGGTTGTAAAGATATTATATGGGTAGAGCCAATTGAGAACTATGATTGATCTCAAAGCTCTAAAATATAATGAAAAAGATATATATTATAATATTTTAGAATACTTAATTAACAGTTAATACCTACAATACATTAAAAGTATTCTTTTATATTAGAACTTTAACAAATTTTACGTCATGAAGAAGATCTTGTTGATATTGTCTAAACTTTTCTGTGATATTGATATTACCAACTTTCTACTAAAAATACAAAAATAATAATAAAGTAAATTATAGTTATATAGTAACATAAATAAATTCGATTTACAGCATACTTGATCTTTGCATTCTATTCCCAATTGTTTTTCAAGTTCATCAAAGTTAAAACTTATCCTGTAATCTATAGCTTCATCGTCAGTAGCCTCATCATCCTCATCATCAGAGAATATGAAGATATCAACAGGTTCATCGCTACCAGAATTTTTCTGAAATTATTAAAAGTTTCTAGCAATCACCATTGATAAAATCAAAAGTCAGTAATAACCCTCCCTATCTTAGAAGATACGAATCTGAAATACGTGAGCATAGTGTAGTGTCATCACCATGATTAACCCTTTTCATAATTTTGTTTTCATCAATATTTAGGCTTCTTTTTCACCTCAAATTATATTGATTTTGTTTGGATACTGATACGTCTTAGATAATATATCAACTAAGCACGCTCAAAAATTAATCTATGGATAATATTGCATAAGCTTACGAATTGATATAAATCAACCCCATCAACTAACTGATTTCAGTCAGAGAATTTACCAAATAAGAAAACGCGTTCTAGAATGTTCTATATAAAATTTTTGAAATTTGATTGGCTGTTACATGCATATGATCGATATTCATTTCTTCTTTTTCTGAATTTTCTTTATGGCTTAGATAATATATAGATAGATAGCAAAAGAGTTCTAATTTTCATAATCAATAAAAATCAATTGAGATTAACTCTTCATAAAAAAGTAAATGAGACCTCAAAATAAGAAATTTTCATGCATTTTGTTAATTGAAATGAAAGTATATAGCAT